GAATGTGAAGATGGAGAGTTCAACATGCAGCAGGTGTGTTTGTCATCAAAGTCTGCCTGGCTTTTCTTGAGTTGTAATTTTAGCTGATCTTCAGGCTTGTCAGTTATCTCTGGAACACACCTTTTCTCTTGGGCAGCACAATTGGGAAGATACGAAAATCATAGCGTCGTCTTTGTGATTTACTGCAGTTGTTCTGTCTTCCTTTTTCTTCTTTTCTGATTCATGTATAAAGTCCCGTGCATTGAGGTATAAAGTCCTATCTGTGTTACGCTTGGTTCTTCTGCTCCTCTTTCTCATTTGTCTTGGCAAGCTGGAGAGAGTGGCCCAAAAGCTTTAACTGAGTTTGCCACAGGACTTGTGGTAGTGGTAGCAATGGGTTTTTGTTTGGGTGTGAGATCCACTCTTAAATGAGCGAGATTAAAGTTGTCTCTTCTATCCTGGTTCTTTATTTTAAAATGAAACTTCATTAGTGGTGGCTGTGACCTTTCTCGTTAAGATGTACCCAACAATTACTTTTAACATTTTATGAAGGATCTTAGTTGTTCTATTTGTAGTATCATTTGGGAAGGTGGATTCTGTGCACTTCTCAGACGTCGCTTTTCTCTTGGCTGCCTAGGCTGTAGCACTTGAAGAGGAGCAGGGCAGTTCTAGAGCAGAGACTCCCAGCACAGTGACAGAGGTGGATATGGACTTGGATAGCTACCAAGTTGCTCTGGAAGAAGTGCTCACATGGCTGCTGTCAGCTGAGGATGCATTTCGGGAACAGGAGGAAATATCTGGTGACGTTGAGGAAGTCAAAGAGCAATTTTCTACCCATGAAGTAAGCTTCTCTTAAATTCATTTGTTGTGGGCTTTTTGTGTGTGTGTGTGAGCTGCAGAACTTCCATTTCCTAGTCCTTATCCAAAACCTGCCATTCTGTTTCTTTTGTCTTGCTTCTAAATTAAAAGCACCTCTAACTGAATGTGGTGGTCTGGTGTTTGGTTTTTTTTGTTGTTGTTGACAAATAATAGCTTCTTGAAGGTGAAATAGATCTTTTTAGGAGAACTTACAGAGGAACATGCTTTGAAACTTTAATGTATTTTTTTAATCAGCTTTTGGTGGCTGGCTCACTGGTGTCTGTAACACAAAGACGGTCTGATCCAGGCTGCTTTGTCCTTCTCTGCTGCCAACTACTAAAAAGCCTGGTCAGCCTTGTGTCACTTGCTGTGAAATGAGGGCGATGCTGAAATTGAAAATCATGTCAATGTAATTCAGTGGTCTCCCTGTCATGATTAGCATCGTTTATTTCAGAAACATGTCTTGTTGGATCCAAATTATTGTTGTTTCCAAACTATTTTGTTTTGGTTCTGCTCCAAGTCTGAACAAATGTTCTAATGTTGCTAAAAGTTTCAAGTGTTACCTTAGATGTTTTAGTTTTCTCCTGTGTCAGCTTACTGTATACAATTGAATTTGACATCTGAATGCTGAGCAATATGAAGAATTTTTTTTCCCTCGTGCTACAGTTTTAAAACCATGAACCAAAGGATGAGGTGTTCTGGATTTATAGTAAATATGTGGATTTTTAATTAACTCATAGGGTTCTATTTGCTTTCCTATGATACCTTTCAGATCTTGTTTTATGTTCTGTTGGCCATAGGTAAGTTTCTCTTTTATGTTCTTGGTGCATTTATTCAAAGACTGTCATCTTACAAATAGCTGGTTCTCTGAGGTAGTCAGCTTTTTTTCCTCAATTAGCTCTATTACTGGCTCCAGAATTTTTGTAGCTCATGGGAGAATCTTCTGTCATAGAGAGGAACAGGTCTGCCATGCCTGTGTGTTTGCTGGTGTCGGCTCATTCTGCAGCACCGATTCAAACACAACAATTTATTAGGACATTCACAAATTCATGAAGTCCTGTAGGAGCTCACAGATCAGAGTGACGTGGCTGGTTGTACCGTTTGCAGGGTTTTATGATGGAACTGACTGCGCACCAGAGCAGCGTGGGCAGTGTTCTGCAGGCTGGAAACCAACTGGTGGCCCAGGGAAATCTGTCACCTGAAGAAGAGTTTGAGATCCAGGAGCAAATGCTGCTGCTGAACTCGCGCTGGGAGGAGCTCAGGGTGGAGAGCATGGACAGGCAGTCCCGGTGAGTCACGGCACACAACCTCTCCTAGAGCTGCAGGACCAACTTCTGGTGCTTACTGCATCTTGGAGGGTTGGTTTTCATCCATTTGTAAGATACTTTTTTCAGAATTAACTCTTCAGTTTGTGACATGAAATCCACCTTCTTCATACTTTCCAAGGTGAAACAAAAGAAATGAATATAACTCTTTTTTGGGGGGAATGTTATATAAAAGTATTTTGAGACTTATGTTATGTAAATGTGCCAGGTTAAATATGATATCTACATGCAGTAGTTACATAAATGTGTTTTTAATGTTGTTTCAGTAGTTAAAGTTCCTCAGTAAAGCACACAGTAGACATGGATAGCTATGTGTGTTTACACAACTAAAAAGCACTTAGAAGAATTTTTTCCTGCCTCTGGGTTATCAAGCTAAGAGCTGCACATCAAGGGAGAAACTACATTTTGTTGCAGCTCTCAGCAGAGGCTCTATTAGTGGCAAATCCCTGTTGCAAGAAACAATCCCTGATATAAGTGGCGTAATTCACTAACTTTTTTTTTGAGAAAGAAGCAGGGATACTTAATTGTGTTCCTTAGCTTAATGGTGAAAATTTTATTTGATGATAACTAACTAGTTTATGAATGGCCTTGCTTCTTTCCTATAGGAACTAGGACTTAGTTTCTTTCCTTGGGAAAACTGTTTGTGAAATAGCTCTACCTGTACTTCCCCCTGCAGCCTGCATGACATGCTGATGGAGCTCCAGAAGCAGCAGTTGCAGCAGCTGTCCAACTGGCTGACGGTCACAGAGGAGCGCATTCAGAAAATGGAATCGCAGCACTTAGCAGAAGATTTGGAGTCTCTTCAAAAACAGCTGGAAGAACATAAAGTAAACCTTTTTTGTCTGTTATGTAATACGTATGGGAGAAGTATTTGAAAGACGTGTACATTGGTGGGTTCCCTAGCTGAGAAACTTGATTGTGTCAGAAGTCGTATGTGGCTGTATGCTGAGGGGCTGCATTTGATGTTTGGAAAAAGATGATGATGATGAGGTAGAAAGGAATTGGAGGTTTCTGGAAGTACTTTCTTAACTAAACATTTGAGCACTGATGACTATAGCAGAAACTATTATCTTCACTTCGTGCAGAAAGCAAAACCTGTAGGGGAAATTATGTTGCCCTCATTTTGTGCAGGAAATGAAGCATCTCCAGGTAAGTTGTTGGAGTGATGGACAGTCTGAAACATACTGTGGACAAACTTGCCTTTGGCAGGCTTTGCTAAAGCATGCTTGAGACTTGCAGATGAAAATAATGCGGGAGTTACAATTATCAGGAAGAGCATCCCAAGTCAGTGATTTCAGTCCCTGATTTTACAGGGATCGCATCCTAAAGGGGTGCAGAGACACTGCTCTCTGATGTGCACAACATTTTGGAAGCAGTTGGTCTCTCAATTAAGTTTCTGGATGGGAGTCCAGCCTTTCTAGCCTGCAGTGTTGTTTTTTGAAGGAGAAAGATGGCCTTTTGCCTCTTTTTATGGTTGCAGCTTTGACTTTCTTACTCGATGCAGAGGTTTGACCTTCTCCCCAGCATGGGACATACCTCACAGGGCAAGAGCTGCGGAGTATTTTTAGTCTGTAATTTCCTGTCCCACATTTGCATTCTTTCCTCTGTCTTCAAAGTCTGGAGAGTTTGAGGCGTGTTGTTCATGGAGTAGCTTAGGATATTCTGGGATGAAAAGTGATATTTGCAGTACTGTAAAGGCATATTGATCTTGCAGAGATATCTCAGAGGTAGGCTTTAACTGTAGAATCTGTTCTTCTAGAAGTTGTATGAATATTTAAATCTACTGGTTATTTCAAACTAATCGGAACTGTATGCTTTCTGCAGTTTTCGACTATTGTCTTTGATCATCATGATCAATTGTAGCACTGTTGATACTGATGAGAATTATATTGTCAGCTGTTAAAAGACAAATGTTCTTAGTGATTTTTTTTTCCCTGTTTAGCATGCCCTATGATACTTGCTTATTAGCAGTAATAGCTTTTCATAGAAACACTTAAGCTTTCTTGCCTGTAACAGCAGACATATAGAAAGTCAATGCAGTTGTCGTATGATTCTCCTAGTCAAGTATGGTGCATAGAGCTTAAAGCACTCCTTCATGTTTTCCAACATTAACAGAATGGTTTGGGGTTCATTTCTAGCAGTCTTTTGCTTACATTTACTTAAACTGCAGTGATTCCCAGTGGTAAAATCCATGCTTAACTGTTGGATCTGAAGTTCTTTGCCGCAGCAGTTGTGTTAGTCACTGTGGCCAAAATATATTCAAAGCTGGTAACCTCTGGTTTGTTCTTCTAGAGCCTGCAGAGTGACCTAGAGACAGAACAGGTGAAGGTGAACTCCCTGACGCACATGGTTGTCATTGTTGATGAAAGCAGTGGAGAAAGTGCAACAGCTATTCTGGAGGAGCAGTTGCAGGTAAAATGTTAGAGCCCTCTTTTTTAACTGTAGTAGCAGGCACTTAAAACCTCTGCATGTACTTGCTAATCAACACTTTTCTGTTTAAAGACAATTTATCTTAGAAAGTAATTTAAAATATTTTTTTTAGAAGTAATATTAATGTAAAGAATTACTAAATTTGCTCTGCAAAGATGCTTTGGTGACTGTCAAGCTCAATTCCTGGTGAGTCAAGCTGTTCGCGTTCCCAGTGACTTCGGCACTTTTGTAGGGTATCCTTTCAGCAGTTTCATTAAAATGGGAAGATGCACAGTACAACTCTTACTTCTCATATGTCATTTTCATTTGGAAATTAAAATCTAAAGGGAAAAATATTTAAAGACATGAGCACAATTTATCTAAGGAATGTTGTGTGAAGTATTTTCCCGTTTTTGTCAGAAGTGAGACTGTAACCTGTACTACAGGGAGTGTGAAACAGAATTTATTGAAAGAGAATTCATGCTGCTTTGTTCGCTTCTTTTGAAGTCGATCAAATAGCTCACTGACTTCAGCAAGAGCAGAGATAAGGCCATAGGTGAATACTCTTGAAAGTTTTAACCTCCAGCTTTCTGCAATACAACAATGGCGATTACTGGCAAGGAGGTAGCTGGAATGGAGAAAGTGGTTACTGTGACGTAGAAATTATGCTTTTGAATATCTGATTTTTGAGTCTTGTGAGGCTTGTGAATGTTCATGAATTTTCCTGCTTTTGTAGAGGCTTGGCGAGCGGTGGACAGCAGTTTGTCGTTGGACTGAGGAACGACGGGTCAAGTTGCAAGAAATTCATCTTTTATGGCAGGAGCTGCTGGAAGAGCAAGTTAGTAGCTCTTTGGTTACCCAGAGTGACCAGTTGATTTGTGGAGGGGTGGGGGAAAACCAGCCAAACAAAAAACTTAGTAGGGTTTAACAGCTCTCAGAAAAAAGCCTTGGAAAAAAACCCAGATTTTGTGTTATTGTTGGGATTCTCAGCGTTTCTTGAGGAGTAGAGTAGCTGTGCAGCACAAGAGAAGTATTTTCCGAAGTTTAAGAAAGTAAGTTTATAACTCCTTATAAAATAATTTCCAAGGTAGCTTGCAAAATGGCCAAGAAGTGGGAATATCCGTGATAGCAAAATGACAATGGATCACTAAGTATTTGGTGGTTTGGTAACTACAGAAGTTTTCCTAATCAAGGTATACGTGCTTCCAACATGGATACATGTACAGAGTTGTGCAGTCAGCTAGTCAATAAATACTGTTTTCAAAATCTGTAACATAAAACATGTGGTCAATGTAGCGAAGCATGCAGCTAGTCTCATTTTGCTGAATTTAGGAAAACAGTTGAAGATGGCATTGAGAGTTTTTTCTTGCTTTCATATCGCACATTTTATGTATATATTAAATATACTGCTCAAACAGCAATTAACTGATGGTATAAAAAAATACAGTAACACAGCTACACGTGTTAGGTTTGCATGCCCAGTGCTAGAGCTTGTTTTGTGTCTCAGCTTAAAATATTTGATGGATTTTCCTTTGAAGGTTTTACTTAAATTGTTTTGTTTTCTTAAATGATGGTATTTGCCACTGTAAGCTATTGTTTAAACTCTGCAGTACACACAGATTATTTAGACATTTGAAAACAGAACAACAATGCTGATGGAGCTGTTGGTATCCGTTACAGCCTGGTTTCTTTGGCAGGGATGTTTTGTCTGCATTTTTTGGGGTTGCATATGTGTTTCTCCTTCACCCCTCCCATATCTATTTGCAATATATTGATAAGCTGAATTTGCAGCTCATGTGACCTTGTTGTTAATACGAACCCAAGGTTCAGATTCTGGTTTATCCAATGCCAAGTATCTGTTTATATATAATTTCCTTAAAATACTGTGTTGGCATATGTGTACGTACATACAGAATGTGCTAACATTTTCTGGCAACTCTTGGGCAAGATAAGTCTCTGAGTTGAGAAATAAGGATTCCTCAAAAATCCCTGCTCTGTATGTCAAGGTACAAACTTCAAGTGCTTTCAGTTTTGATGAGCCTGTGCGAACACGTTTCTGTCCTCTTCCACCCTTAGGTTTGTCTGGGGAAAAGTGACCACTGCTTGACGATTACAGTACTGTTAAGAGTGTCATCTTCTATTGGAGTTACTTTGCATTCAGCTTTTTAAAATTTGTATGTAATTATGTTGCTCTATAAAAGTGGAAAAAAAAATTAATCAATGTTTTAATGTAGAGTGTCAGGTAGCAAGTAATAAGGAAATAGAAGTTTATTTTGGATGGTTTAGATCAACCTATGTTTGCAGTTGTTATTCAGCTGTGGACAATGCGTTTATTACTAACAGGTCTGAATTACAGCGCTCTGTTCTCAAGAATTATCAAGTGACCTACAAAAATTACAATTTGAAACTAATTAAAAAATTTAATTCAAACACTTTGTTAATACAGAAGTAAGTAAAACGTTTAGGTACTTCACTTTCCATTCCACCCAACCAGATGGAGAGATGAGCAACAGTGATGCATCAGGCTTTTTGTGGCTGCTTAGAAAATTTTTGGAAACCACATTGCCAAGTCAACACAATTCTTACCACTCAGGAAACAAATTCCTCAATCAGTGCCAGATATTTCTCAGTACTGTGATAATTACGTTTCAGTTTTCTAGGGAGAGTTATTTTTGCTGATTTAGCAGAAATTAATTGAATACATTGAAGAGTTTTTAAGCTCCTCTTTATGCATAAAATATGTTGGCTAGGATGCCAGCGTGATTTTTCCAGAATATGTGGTGTTTCTCACAGCCTTGTAGCATTTCGACCACTGTCATATTTGCTGTGTGTACATTTTGAGTATGGGTTTACATTGGCAATGTAAACTGCCTTAACCCTTTGGCCCAAAAGTTGCTGTAGTCAGTTCTGGGACAATGCCAAAAATATATAGCTAGCCCGAGGAGCCTAGTGGCTGTTGTAAAGTGTGTTGTTCAAAGAACAAAAAGGCCTGCCTTGCTGTGTTGTGTTTTTGATTTGTTTGTTTGTTTTTTTTAAACACGGAGTAGCAGCAGTGCACCAGTGGCTACGCAACTGAGCTTGATAGAGAGCTGGATATTCCAGCCCATGGAGATGGCTGCGCAGCAGCAGCAATATGTTGCAACGTAATATAGAATGTATAAAATTGTTCCTGATCCTTGATGCCAGTTATTGCTGGAATTTCCATCAGAGTGCTGTGTGATGGAAAAGAAGTGAGACCCAGGACAGATCTCCTAGCAAAAAGTGGAAAAAGCTCAAAATTGCTGAGTTAATACTATCCAGAGCAGACCACTCCAGCTTTCGCTAGTTAGTGAGATGGTGTTTGCTGAAGTTATTTTGCAATTGGAAGTAGGTGCAGTAAACAGGGAGGTGACTGATTCATATCTGAGTCTTTGACCGACTGCCTGGACTAAAAGAGCTCTGAATTGTCAGTGGTGTAGCTTCTGAGAAAATGTTTGTAACGGTGGGTTTTGAATCACAGAGGAAGGAGGGTGGAGAGTGAAAGAAAGTATACATACCATTTTGATGCATTTAATTTTAATATAATTTATAAGTCCCATGTCAGCTGTATGGTGGAGTTCTGGTCACTATAAATAACTTTGTGGGGGAATAACTTTGTGGGGGTGTGTGCACTGATATATTGAGAAATGGTTTTGTTGAAATTGTTTTGCTGGAAAGTATTACTTAGTTCTCTGATATTTTTTATCCCCTTTTTATGTCCTATTTTTGCTAATGCCAACTGAAATTGCTGCATATAAAGACTGCAGAATTGTGCTTTGAATGCAAAGATCTTAAAGAAGGAATTGTCAATAGCTGTTTGACAAACTTGGTATTTTCTTGTGCTCTTTTTCTTATGATCTGCAGTGCTTATTGAAAGCTTGGTTAACTGAGAAAGAAGAGGCTTTGAGTAAGGTCCAGACAAGCAACTTTAAAGATCAAACGGACCTGAGTGTGAATGTTCGAAAACTAGCAGTGAGTATTGCTATCCTGCTCTATCCTGTCAAATCTCATAGACTAAATGAATGGCAAATTACCAGCAGGAGCTGTGAATGCATGAGACTTTGGAAGCCAGACCAATATTCTCTCCTTGCCAGATTTTCACTTGAATTTTAAAAAAAATGTGTACAACTTACTCCATGGCCGTTCCAGGTTGGTGTGCCAAATTTGGAACAGCTGTTCTGGGTTTTTGCCAGGGTTTGGAGTTTATTGCAGGCCACCAGTCAACTGGGTTTTCCAAAGTGTGGGTTTGTGGTTTGTGGTTTTGGTTTTGTTTTTTTCTTTTTAAATACATTGGTGCAGCTTGTACCTGAACTAGCCATTTGTAATTTACTGAAGAAGTACTGCTGATTGCTCTAGGAGGTGTTTTTGGGATGTGCTCTTTTTAAGAGTGCTTTGCTATACAAGAGAACTGTTTTGAAACCTGTGATGCATCTGGCTCATGAAGTACATCCCTCCCCAGGAATTAAAAGCTAAGGGGTGGCAGAATACTTGATGTCATTTTTTCCTGTTTTCTTTTAACTTCAGATTTTGAAAGAGGACATGGGTATGAAACGACAAACACTAGACCAGTTGAATGAGCTAGGTCAGGATGTGGCCCAAATCCTTGGGAATGGCAGAGCATCCAGTAAAATCGATCAGGATCAAGAAGAACTAACTCAGAGGTGGGACAGTTTGGTTCAGAAGCTAGAGGATTATTCTAACCAGGTACTTAACAAGGCTTTATTACTTTTTAGCTGGTTAGATATCTGTATGTATGCAAACCTCATTGATACTGTCAGCAAAATTGCTCAGGTGAGTTCGTGGCCTCAGGCTAGAGAGGTAGGTGAGTGCTCTTTCACTGGGGCTGACTTTATCTGCTGACAAAGCTGTCTGTGTGTTTTGGTCTTCAAAACCCCAAGTTGTTAACCTGACTAGTACTATCACTCCTTTCTCACACAGATTAAGCTTCATTTTTCTGATGAGTAAAGCAGGCTTGCCATGATTATCAATCAATGCAAATGCCTTTAAACATTATAAGAGTCCTGGGACTGGATTAAATCTGATACTAAAAGAAAACAAAGACAAACCCCAAAACCCAGAATAGATAAATAAATGGGAGTCATACAAGCATTTATGCTCTGTGAGTATGATTTCTCATCTGTTGAAAATAGAGTAGTTGTTTGTTTGATATGTGACGATGATAGCCAAGCTGGATTGTTAAATGTTTATTTTAGTATTTTGAGTGCTTGGTAATGTTTTTATTTAGACAGAATTCCCATTGGCTTCTGTGAGAATTTTGTTTGACAGTTTTATGACTCACGTATCCCTTTTTTGTGATATTAAAATGTTACTATTGTGAAGGCTGTGACACTGATTCACAGTCCATTTAGTGCATAGTGAATGAGTTGTGCAGTCTGAGTAGGGGTCCGTTTCAGCCATGTGGCTTTAATTTGTTCTTGCGTTTGAGTCAAAGCACTGTAGAGTGCCAAATTCTGTCTTCATCCTTTCACTGCCCCTAAATATCAAGCACATACTTAGAACTTACAGGTTGATTCCCATGGGACTTACTTTATAACCCGTTAAAGAGTGTGGAAGGTTTCTGTTGACTTAAGTGAGTTTTTAGGTCAAATCACTGCGTATCAGCTCTTTCTGAGATCTAGGCTTGGTTTTATGGGGTATGAGTATAAAATACAGAATTGTATGTTAGTAAAACCAAAGGACCTTGGTTCTTTTTGTGAACCAAGCAATTATGAAAGAAAATAGATATAAAGTTTGTTTTATTGATTATTTTTTTTTTTTAGTTCACTTGGACTGGCATGAAATTCTCATTGAACTGAGAATTTTGATGCTTGGTTCCCATCTGCAAAATGAGAATAATGAAGTTTTTTCTCTGGAGTGCATCTGTGGTAAAGGTGCTTCATGACAGCTAGACATGGTCATTTGTAGGAGCAAATGAATGAGCTTTTATGATTGATGAATAAAAGGAACTAAGCAAAAGCAATTCAGTCCATGTTAAAAATAGCGTTTAACCCTCTTGCTAAATTATTTTGTATAGGTGACTCAAGCTGTAGGAAGCGTAGGGTTGTCACAGGTTTCACAGAAGTCTGCTGCAGAAACAATGCCGTTGAAGGAACAGGTAGTGGTTAAACAATCCCGACAGGAGTTGCCCCCGCCGCCACCCCCAAAGAAAAGGCAAATCCCAGGGGAAAGTGAAGTAAAGAAAAAGTAAGTATACGTCACTGCCATTTTCCCTTGCTCACTAGATACTACATAGACTCATGTCTCTTGGTCTTGGCTTTTGATTCTTCTTTTATGCAAGTGAGGAATACTCAAGTTGCAGTTATGAGGTTGCATTTGGGGAATGGGAAGGGAATATTATGTACAACCTTGTTTTCAGAGTGAGAGAAAGCCTGCAGCTTCCATTAATTTCAAAGGGAAAGGGGGGTGTTTCTCAAAAAAACAGGTTGTCAGTCCTTTGTTCCTCAGCTCCTTTGCTGAAAGACAGAATTAATTATATTTAGTTTCTTTTGGAAAAACATCTTCTTTCACAAAAGTGTTGTGAAAGCCCCAAGTATTTTGATTTATTATTTATTTCCAATCTCCACAAACTATATGGAAGAAATGGGCAAAACTGCACAAAAAAAGGCTCAGAAACCTGTTCCACCTCCCTGGTATGTAGTAATAAGAACAATATTACAGTGATGTCTCCTTTCACAAGTATATCTGGAGTGACTGACTAATTTGCAGGTATGGAATCACAGAATGGTTTGGTTGGAAGGGACCTTAAAGCCCACCCAGTTCCAACCCCCCTGCCCTGGGCAGGGACACCTCCCACCAGACCGGGTTCCTCACAGCCCCATTCAACCTGGCCTTGAACACTTCCAGGGATGGGACAGCCACAGCTTCTCTGGGCAACCTCTGCCAGCGCCTCACCACCTTCACCAGGAAGAATTTCTTCCTAATATCTAATTTAAATCTACCCTCTTTCAGTTTAAAACTGTTAGTCTTCGACCTATCACTCCCTGCCCTTGTAAAAAGTCCCTCCCCACCTGTCCTGTAGGCCCCTTTAGGTACTGGAAGGCTGCTCTAAGGTCTCCCTGGAGTCTTGTCTTCTCCAGGCTAAACAATATTTAATAACATGTGTTGCATTGCCTTTATGAAATAGCATACCTAAAACTAAAGGAATTGTTTCAATACAAATAAAGAAAGTTAAATGCTATGTACTCATCATTTCCCTTTTTGTGCTTGCCTGAGAAAATGAATGTTTCTTTGAGGTGACACTAATTTAAACCTTTGGCAGGTTGTTAGGGAGAGGATAGAGGTCTGTGTCAAGAGCAGGGAGTCACTGTGCTAGGTGATATGTGTTTGTGTAGTGAGGAAAGGTTGTTCTCTTCATTTTTCTGGAGGAGGAATGCAGGTTTTGAAGGGGTGAGGAACCTGCCCAAACCCTCTTGAAGACCCTAGTCAGAGCCTCCGAGCCGTGGTGAGGGTGGTGTGTGGGTGTCCCAGGGCAATAAAGCAGTCAGCAGCCCACCTGTCCACTCTCTCTGTGTGTCTTGCGAGTCGTAGAAACTATTTTAGACTTTGAAAGCAAAAGTGACTGTTACCGATTTTCCTAGAGTTCAAACTATATTAAGGACCGGGTCAGCTAAAACAGATTAAACCTTCTGATGCTTTTGCCTGATCCTGGTTACTTATGTTGAAAAAAACAAATGACCAGTAACTAGAATTTTGCAGGTTTTCCCATGAAAACTGTGAGTGACTAACAGTGATTTCTGGATTTGTTGCTAGGCTGTTATTCCATGTCAGGATTTACACTGTGTTGAGTAGTATAATTGTAATATGGCCTGACTTGTGGTCTGTGTAGTACGTCTGTCCTTCTCTCAAGTTCGGTACAGTATTGGTGGATTTGGGGGTTGGGGTTTTTTGTTTGTTTGCTTTTGTTTTTTGGTGGTGTTGGGTTGTAGCTTAGAGGTTTTAGGCATAAGAAAGTTATGTTAGTATAGATGTGTCCACTGTAGGCAAAAATGTTAAGCTATAAGATAATCTTTAGTCAGCTAAGTGTTCAAAAATGTTTCACTACTGTCACTGCCATGAGTGCTGAAGCTGCTAGCTTTTTCTTCAGACTAAAGAGTGCTGCATGCTTTTACAAAATCTAGAACTGTAATTCTTATTTGCCTTGTTCCTGGGGTTTAGTTTATTACTTTCAAAGTACTCGGCATTGAGAGAGGTCTTTTGTGACAGATTAAAAGAAACAGTAATAGTTTGCATGAAGATATGTATTAAAAGAATTAAGAAATAAATTGCACCATGCATTCTCAGTTTGCTCCCAAAGGCAAACACCATGGACATAATTTTTACTATGGCAGGTTTTTGAAAGTCTGTCCTACAGCCTGTGAGTAGTAATATGAGAAACATGAATCTTGTGTGCAGCCCTTGCTGTTTTGGGATCGAATAATGTGCTGAACTTTAAGACTTATGATTTTTAAGAAAGAGTGACTGAATAGGGGAAAAAATGACAAAAAAAATTTGTTTGACCTTTTAAACCAGGTTTGATGCTGAAAGTGCTGAGCTCTTGAACTGGATTTCAAAATCAAAATCTGCCATTCAGGCCATAGATATCAAAGAGTACAAGAAGATGAGAGAGACTTCGAACATGAAAGAGAAATTGAAGGTAAAAAGGGGAGATAGAGTGTTCCGGTGAATAGTATATTTTGTCTCTAAGCTGGCTGTCAGCTGGAGGTGTGGGCTGATCCACATGCTTTGTGGGGATTAAGTCCTTTAGTTAAATAGTTTCAGAACTGGACGTACATGGGAATCTCTGACCAGCTGGACACAAATTTTTGCTGGTGTCGGGTTGCACAATCTGCAGGAAATTTTAAAAACATACTGATGTCTCCTTTGGAGTTCTGATGAATGTCTGTCTTCGGGATTAGTATCTTTTCCACTAAGCAGCATATTTTGCCCTCATGTTTCACAGTTGGTGATGGACTTGATTGACACCACTTTTGTAATTTTGGCAGAGATGGGCCAGCGGACTGTTCGGAGACCCCGTGAATCATGCTGTGACGCTCTGCACACACTGTACTGCCCAAGGTCCAAAGTGGTCCGTTGTTGTAATGTTGGGACACGTTGTTGTTTGCTCTATTAATTTTGGAGAAAAACTGATAGTTACAACCTGTGTATGGTGTTACTGACCTGCAAGACAAAATACATTATTTTACAGGATCCTGTGGGAGCCATGAAATAGCCATTTTATCTCATCTTCCTTCTGTTTCAGGAATGTATTCTTGCCTTTTTTGGTCCTTGAACATGCTTTGTTAATGAAGGCTTACTGGAGCTTTAGCAGGACCTGAACCTGCTTTTGAAATCAAAGACAATACTTAAAAGTATTTAAAGAGACTACTCAGTGCTGCAGTACAAAATGGTGCCAGTGGGAATGTTTGGAATGGCAGTACTGTTGAAAATAAAAACCAAAACAACCCTCCCAGTAGTTTATTTATAGATCTTTATGAATGTTTGTAGCCCTTTATAAAATAGGCTCCAGTATGAGCACCAGGTTCCCGTGAACAGCACGGTTTTCAAAGATTGGGCTCTAAGTGAGTAGGACAGTGTGTGTTCTTCCCAACTGTTCAAATAAATGCATGCTACTTCTGCATTTACTGTAGCAAGTCTAAACCAGACTAATGACCTTGGACATTTAGTTTCAAAAAGATTTTAATTTGGAGATGCTTTGTTGTAATCACAGAGGATATTGAAGTTGTGGTCTTGTGGCCAAGGAACTCATCTTTCCTCTGTGGATGTGTTTGGATGTATTCTACCTGTTGGCTCACACAGGAATATTCACCAATATGTATGACTTGAGGGAGAAACATGCCCTCTAAAAATCTTGGTAGTCACATGGGATTTACCTCGTTACTTCTTTATGAAGGAGAGTGAAGCAGTAGAGCTTATGAGAGTGGATTACTAGTGTGCTATAGTTCTTGCTATTTGGACTTCTAGGGAACAGGTGGTTGTTCCCTTCTGGAAATCTTGGTAGAGACTGCAGAGGTGAAGAGACTATTTTAAAAAAGGTGTTTTCTCCACTGGTTCACATTAAATAATTGCAATTTTTCATAACAAGTGACTTGTTTTAGCCGGTGTCACAATATCTGATTTCACATAGTATATTACCCTCTCTGAAACTATATTCTTTTGGGGTTCACTTTGCAGGTAATTGAAAAAGAAAGAGTTGAAAAAAGCCAAAAGTTAGATGAACTGAAACAAAGTGGACATATTCTTTTGGATCAAATGGGAAAGGGTAAGCAACTTGAAGGTTTTTCTGTTCTGTGATTTAATCGTATGAGTTGCTGGGAAATGAAGCTGAAATACGCTGTCTCCAGTTAGGCATCACAATGTATTCCTTCCCTCTCCCTCTATTTTCTTCCCTTCAGAGGCACTGGTCGTTGTTACTGTTATTGATATGTGTTTTGTTTTTATTAAAGCTTATAGAAAAGCAATATTAATATTCTTTGTTTAATGTGTGTGTGTTCATTTGCAACCTTTTAAGGGTTATTTTTATTGAAATAGAAATAATTTCTTAAAATGGCAGTAACATACTTTTGGGGGAAGGTGTTGGTTTAATTTTTGAATTGTGTGGAGATTAAATATAAAAATTTAAAATATAACTGCCTTAAAGAAGTGGAAACTCTGAAACCAAATTTAAGCTTGATAAATGCGTGTATATCTTTTTTTGTTCGTAGTTTTCTCTATTTTTATAAAAACTGTCAGTATGTGTTGATGATACAGTCACAATTTATGGCTCAAAGGCAAGAGAGAAGCCTACATCCTTGAGAAAATGATTGATTGTCAATTAAAACACTTATCCCTGGAAACTTATAATTAACATCAGAGAAAGTTGGGTCTTTAAGCCTTGCCAAAATCTTGTTTCATAATATGACAAAACTCCATCAGTGAAATGTGACTGTCTCCATAAAAGAGCTGTTCATATCATTCAGAGACGGTCTTTTAGATCTGCTATGCACTTGGCTTCTGGGGAAGGTGCTGTGACTGGTAGCATTCGAACAGGTGAAAGGATGGTGACGCTGTCCTGCATACTGACCAGCGTCCCTTTTGGAAAATGCTGATTTCGGTTGGATTTCCCAATTGTCACATTTTTGCCAGCCAGGCCCTTTGCCCGGATGCCCCAACCTGCTAAGCATCTCCAGTCCTTCCTTCCTTGCCTACTACAGCTGAACCTTTTTACAGTGGGTGCCATTGCCCTGAAGCTGATGGCTGGAAGCCACTGACTTGACCTGGAGTTTGGATTATAAAAATTTGTAGCTGTTCCTTGTCTTCAAACCTTGACAAAAATCCTCCCTCCGGCCCTCTCTTCTATAAACCCCTCCACCTGGGATAGGTCATGGCTGTGAAACCAGCATCTGCTGATCATAATGAGAAATGCATAGTTCAAAAACTGCTTTCTATCAGCAAAAAAATAAGATACGGAATTGCTTTGTAATTGTTCAGTCTTAAAGATTGGGATCTATAGAAAATAACCATTCTACAGCCCTTGGCTTTGTTAGGATCTGCTAGTATGTTTTGTCCAGCTCAGAACGACAGCTCTTCTTTCCAAAACCAGGCCCAGCTACATCTGTGTGGAATAATGCATGGCACTGGCATCCGTCTGTATGCATCCCTTTCTGTCTCGGGGCACGTACAAGCTGTGCCGTAATGGCAGTGACCGATCGTTGCATACACGCTCCTCTTACCTGCTGGTTGCAGCTGCTGTGCACACATCTGTATTGTAAGTGTGCCAAGTGTGCGACCGGGATGTGAAGCACGGGGAGGATCTATGGAGTAGAGCCTTCAAGTGCCCTTGTAGAAGCTGGCTGCTGCCCTGACCGCAGCACCGGGCTCCACTTACGCTAAAGCGGTGCAGCAAAACAACCGCCTCGGTGTACCTCTCCTCCTGCTATGCGATCTAAATGACAGAACTGTTAAGTTCAAGTGACCCAAATATGCCCTGTGTAAAGAAGGTGGTGCCTTGAAAGAGAATCTGCATCAGAGACTTGCGATGGCGAGAACATAATGCACGTTGCACTGAAATTTCTTCATATATAGCAAAATCATCGGTTACTTCTAGTGCTTGAGGAAATGAAGGAACAAGGAGAGGGTGGGAGGTCTGTTGGCTTCTGCTGCTGCATCCCCAAGTAATGCATTGATTTGTCAAAAAGATGGTGTAGCAAGTGCTTCATGTAATCCCTGTGGGTGGGAAATAACCTTGTGTTTTGTCCTGTTTTTGCTTTTGTAGCTATTCATGTTACCTAGTTATTAATCATGTCTGTGTGGAATGTGACACTGTTAGCCATTGCTCCCTCTCTCTCCCAGGCCGACAGGATTTCCTTCTGCCTTTTCAATGAATTTATTGCTGCCTTCCAACTTGCTGCATCCCTCTTCCCTTTTTCTTTGTGGAGTCTAGAATAACTTAAAAAAAAAATTCACTGGAAGCTTCCTTAAAAAGCTTATTTTTACTTAAATCTACATATCAACATTTAGACACAAATTGTGATGGTGAAGAGAGTCATGATGGTCAAGAATCAGGTCATTGTTACAAATTCGAAAGTTATCAAAGGGAAAGAATAGAAGTGTAGTATCTCACTCTTCAATTTACTGTTAATGTAGAAATAAAGAGCTGTAACGCTGTTACTAATAAATACAGTTTTATGGATAGTGGACTTGAAATCAAAGCATTTTGCATGTTACTGCAAATGTGCACCTGTACTTGAAGAAAGAAAAGATTAAATGCCTGTTAATCAAAATGTCTTGCAGTTAATATAACAATTTATATCATCTTTTTAGAAGGACTTTCTACAGTGGATATAAAAACTGTGATTGAGAAAATATCGTTAGGGTGGAAAGATGTGGTTCAACAGCTGGAAGAAGTGGCCAGAAAGATAAAGTACCAGGAAGATATAAATGCTTATTTTAAGGAAATGAGTGAGCTTGAGAAGACTGTAATTGAGAAGGATGGCTGGCTTAAAAATGACGCTTCTTCAGCATCCCAGCCCTCAGCAGTCCTGAAAGACTTATGCCAGGTAAGTCTGGCAAAACTTGTTCATTTTGATTGGAAGCTGTTAGAAGCGCAGAATACCCCTGAGGAGCTTAGCCTAGTCGGTAAAGTAACTCCAAATTTCCAAGGCATCCAGGGCACCTGATTTGACTGAAGATTTTGGTACCTGTGTCACAGGAGTATTTAATGTTGTTGCCCTAGTAATGTGGAGGAGCTGTGCTGCAGTAGCTCACTAAAATCTTTGCGTTAACAAGGCAAGTGTGAGATTTGGTTTTGTTTTTAATCCTTCACAGCAGGAGTTAACTCATCTCGTAAGCCTGAGTCCACGTTTGGAACACCTGAAAGCCACCTGCAAGGCGCTCACCTCTCAGCCCATGCCTCCAAACTTCATTCAGGAGAGCTTGAATGGTTTTCTCGATCGCTTCAAGCTGACTCGTCAGAAACTAGAGGAACGTCACCAGCAGCTGAAGAAAGGTAAATATACATATATATATATATATATATATATATATTTTAACATAAGCCCTCCTGATACTTGTGTTCTGATTTTGTTGTTGTTTTGTTTTGAGCCGATTGAAAACTCACTGAATTCTGGTAGAGTTTTGCTACTGAGTCTAGGGAGGCTTTGGGTCAGGCTGACAGAATCTTTTTATTCACCTGAAAGAATATTCACATGACCTCCTCTGTGCACACTACAAAATACAGTGTTCCATGGTGTTAAAAATGATTAGACAAGGATGCAATGTTCCTGAAACTACGTTTACGGAATTAGCAAAACATATTTTAAGGTGGATAATATAGTTTGAAAAGCTGTGTGTCTCTCGCACTTACAGAAATAAATAATATACTAGAAATGAAAAATGGAAGATCAGAAGAACCTTGTAAAATTGAAGTGCACATGTGAAATTTATTCTTTTTCATAGCTTTGTTGAGCACATTAGTCATACATAATTCCTTTTGGAAATTTCATCTTTGAAGTGATTTGGAATCTGGCTTGCTTTTCAGGTCCTTTCTACTTGGGTTTTTTGTTGCGTTAAAAATTTCATTATGCACATTCAAACCAGTCATGCTGGCTTCTAAAGGATTTTTAAATGTAGTGCACAAAATATGTAGCTCTGTTAATATTTTGCAGCTGAATAGCAAGAGCACAGAACTGTAAGGAGATTTCTTTCCTTAGTTTTCATTGGTTTCTGAGGAATTCAAGGAAGCGTTTTGCTAACAGCCCTGAATGGAAGAGCATTCACACTTTATTCTGTGTGTAATAAAAATAGGCTCAATTACTAAATTGTTAGGCCATCTATATAATGTCACACCAGGCCTGATTATATCCATGCAGAAAATGGTATGAATAACGTATCTGTCTGCCACTCTCAGATTAGAGGATATGCTTTCATTCTTACTGTGAGGAATGATAATTTTATGACTGTTCTGAGTTGATGTGCATTTGAATAATTTTATTGGTATTATGTATTTTGGTAATTATTACACAATGTGACAAAAATACAAAAATTTTCATGCCACATCACTTGAGGCATTATGAGTGTATTTGAACCAGTTATTACTTAGTAAAAACACCTTACATATCATAATAGTTAATTTTGTATTTGTGTATTTTTTTGAATGATAATTTCTCTGCAGATTGTGTATTGCTAAAGAACAGAGGGAAATGTCAATTCAGAGTTTCAGGTGTGTATTTACAGCATAGTTTGAATTGCCGTAAGGTAACAAACTTCCAGAGCCACGTGACTGGGGGAAGTGACTGGCGGTGGCACTTGAGCGTTTGTGCGCTTGGCAGGCTTGGACTGACAGAAGTCCAGCTCCTTTCATGGCTCTTCTTTGGGCTTCCAAAAATTCCCTCGTGGAGTGCTACTCAGTCCCATCTCATCGAGTGTTTTTTAATGGGAATTGTCACTTAAAATTTTTTTTTTGTCAATGGGAGGCTATTGTAACTATTTTCTTCTCCTTCAGGATTTGCTGTAGTTTAGTGACAGTGCACCTATATCGTTTTTACTGAATTCCCCGCCCGCCCAATTGATCCTGACTCTTTGAGAAGAGGAAGCTAGATAACCGATTATCTGTAGAAACGTTAGCTCATTCCTTAGCTATAAATGGTATGACAGTTCTGACAGCGAGCTGTTGAAAAGCTACCTGGTGAGTCAGAACAAGGCTTAGACTGATTTTTCACTTGTGGCAGTAACGAAATTGCTCAGGAATCCAAGGCCAGAGAATGTGCATACCACAGTACGGGTCTCATAGCCAAAATCCTGTTCATTCCAGTTTTCTAAATCTGACATTTTCATTCTGAAATGCTGGAGTGAGGTGCTGCCTCCTGCCTGGGATTCCAGAGAGGGCTGACTCAAGCAAAATCTGAGATGCAGTCAAAGATTGCAAGTGCGTACTCCATCCAAACTTTAATCTTCTCTTCAGACTCCCCAGGTAGTGTCTCTGTTCTGGCAACAGGCTGAAGGCTGCTATTTTAATTTTTTGTGTATGTATCCGCATAAAAAAATGAAGAAAAAAACCAAAGCAAAACCCAAACCCTGTTACTACACTAGTACATATTTATATATATATAAACAAACACACATCCATAAAATACTAGCTTACATAGTTACTATATGTAGTATATAACTTTATATGTAATATACAGCTATTATATATGCTATACTTTATACTCTGTGTATAGTAGGTGTATCTGTGTGTGTTTGCATATAAATAGTAGATATGTCTAAGACTTTTTCAAATGAAAAATAATAAATTGTAGGGATTTAGGCATGCAAAAGCCCAAGTACTATTGATTCCAGCACCCTACCC